GACTTTTTGGTATGGGTTGTTGGCTTTTTAGCTAATTTAGTAACTTTTTGACTTTTTGACTAAAATGGAGGGTTCCCAAGGCTAATTTAGTAACTTTTTGGCTATTTGGCTAAAAAAGTAGGTAAAAAAAACTTGTATGTTTGGGATAACTTTTTGGCTAATTACAAAAAGATGTGCAAAAAGTAGAGAGAAAAGAGAATTTTTGACTTTTTAGTATGGGTAGTTGGCTTTTTGACTAATTTAGTAACTTTTTGACTAATTGACTAAAATAGCCTCTTGCCAAACGAGGCCTTAGTTTTAAAAAGACTAATGCTAACCATCCTTCAAGTAGACATTCATCAAATACTATAAAAAATAAGTAAAACCTAATGTTAATACATGTTTTGGGATGATTTAAATAAGTATATTTTTTTTATTTTTTATGAAATATGGATTGGATATGGGTTAGGCTTGAAGTGATGTGTGATGAATAGAGAGGGTAAAGTTCACAATTTTATATTATGTGATTAGAGAATATGGGAGGACATGGAAACTTGTGATTGATTATGGGTTTGGCCATGTGATATTTTTAAACCAACCAATAACTTTTCCAATACGAAATAATTTGTGGGATCTATGGACACATCATAAATACTATTTCAATTATTTAAATCTTTTTATATTGTAAGACCTTCGATGTATATTATCTATGAACAAAATTAGATTGATTTAATAATTGTAATATTTTTATTTTATTGTGTTTGTCTTTAAAAAATGAATAGTTTATTTTTAAAATATTTGTCATTCATTTTTTTAATACTAACGCGATAAAATAAAAATATTATAATGAGATAATTAAACTAATTTTATTTTATGAATAATATATATTAAGAATTCTACAAAATAAATTGTTTGAATTATCGAAAAAAAAGCCCACGCTGGATTCCACGAGCCTCTCAATTTATCTCATATCGAGATGAATATGAAATCAAACCCAATGTATAAACTAATGTTCTAGTTGATAATTTTAAAAACCAGTTTTTTGAAATTTTAATTGTTATTTTTTTATATTTAGTAATTTTTTTTATGTTTAAATTACTTAATTTAGATACCTTTAAAATGTACAAAATTTGTGTATTATGTATTTTTATATTCATTATTTTTATATTTATTAAGTACATTGTCTAGATTATATTCATGTACCTAATTACTTACAAGGTTGTTTAGGTTCATGGATCTTATTCATTGAACTTATCTATAACCTTCTCTATATAAAAGGATGTAAGCCTATGGGCAATAAATATGAATCAATAAGTAATAAAAATTCAATACAAAATATAGTTCATTCTAAAGAGAGTTTTATCAAAAGCTAACATGCTCAACTCAAGGTAGAATCCCACCATCTAACGTGTATGACATTTATCTGTATTTTTCTATAGTCAATTTTGTATCATAAAATTATTAAGACTTTAACAAACTTGCAATCATTTGTAAATACTTCTTGATGTAAAAAAAAAAACACAACTTTGTTACTATCATTCAATCACCATCACAACAAGCTTTTCTTATTTTGAGTAATTAAGCATAATCACTCACTTCAAACTACAACTACAAACCAGTACACCACACAAACATACAACATTTGCTTCTTAATTATTTAGATTCAACCATACATATAGATATATCTCACATAATCCACTTCCAAGTTCCTATGCATTTTTGTGATTGTCCTTCAATGTTCATAAGCACTAACATCTGGCCTCGGCTCAAAATCTTTAACAAATGGCTTGCCTTTCAGATCAACTTCATCGTCATGATAAGCACTAACATTTGGCCTCGGCGCAAAATCTTTAACAAATGGCTTGCCTTTCAGATCAACTTTATCGTCATGATAAGCACTAACATTTGGCCTCGGCTCAAAGTCTTTCACAAAAGCCTTCTTCTCTGCAGAATCATTGACAAGTTGATTGTTGTTTGCTGCTGCTTCTGTTGTCATGTGACAGTCAGTTTTCTTGTCGAAGAGAGGTGATGACACCGAGCCCCGTGGATGATGAGGCCTTCAATTGCTTCCGGCATGGACTGATCTTTCATGATGACTTGCCAGTATTCTCCTTGGTCTTTTCTTGCGTCAACACTGCCAGCAACAAGCTGCTCAATAAAGAAACAGAGAAAAAGTTACAACTTATTTGATATTTGTGATTAAAATGGTAATTTCTTTTATAAATACTCAAAATTGTATCGGACTTAATGAGATCTTTATGAAGTTTGGGATGCTAAGGTAAAATTATTTAGATTTCAAAGAGGCTAAAATATATAAGATTATATGGCCTTGTTTGGGAAAGGCTAAAAATTGGCTTTTTGGACAAAAATTCACAAAAAGATAAAATAGGCTAAAATAGCCAATAAGACAAAATGTCACATCAAACCCATAACCATTTCGTTTTTTCTTTCACAAATATCACATCCAACTTCAAAAAAATCCAACCAGCTTCCCAAACACAAAAAGTTTAGCCTACTAAAATTGTCAAAAACTAAAATAGTCTACTAAAATAACCAACTCCCCAAACAAGGCCATATTGTTGATAGTTCTTAAACCCTTGGGGTTTGGAGGTTTCACCTAATATTCAGATTAACGCACAATTATACAACAAAACCAACCCTTCAAACCCAAAAAGTGAAATTTCACACTCAAACTGTGAAATTTTAAAGTTTTTAAAATTTCAGTGTTAAAATTGTGAAATTCCATAATGGATTTGTACACAGACACATGGTTCTAATCTTAGGGACGGACTTATATAATTGAAAAATATTTTTAACTAATACTAATACAATAAGGGCGGTTTTCGACACCTCGAAAGCTGGTTGTTTCCAACCGTCCCTTCGGTCCATCCTATATATTATGTACTACTTTGCCCTAGGGGAATGCTTATCCTTACCAAGACCAATGAGAAGAGAATGAAGAAAGCACAAGCTGATCCCATGTCTTCAATCACTAATAAGAATTGCTGTCGAGTCCTTCTCTAAATTATGCATGGTGGCTCTATGACCACTTGCTATTTATAAAGATTGAATAAGAAATATAATAAAACCATAAGCTATGTATGAAGCACAAACACATACAGATACAGTAATTTCAAAAAAAATGGAGACATATCGGGGGACAAGGCAAATTATTATTATTTTTATTATATATATTTGCTATGTAGATTAATATTTTGTTATCAAATAATTAAAATTAACAAAAACTAATATCAATTCAATATATATATATATATATAAATCACTACATTTAAACAAATTAATAAATTATCAATATTTGAACATGCATGTCCCCGCCATGTCTCCTGCACACACACAAAAATAAATTAAATTAAATGGACACACCATTTGGCATGTGTGTCCCTATTGTATCCCTATCATGTCCCTTCCGTGTCCCCTACAAAAAAATAATAAAATTAAGGGGACACACTATTTAGCGTGTTCCGTACGTGTCTCCGGCATGTTCCCATGTGTGACACCGCTACAGTGCCTATTTTGAAGTGTTCATACTTCATGGACCATAAGATTCATTTTGGAGAGGAAAAAAAAAACATATATAAGATTCAGTTAATGATAATAATGGATAATGATGCATTGTGATTGATGAATTAGATGTCTCTCTATGTTTATGATTATTATAATATTGAGCTCTCTTTATCAGCAATAATTAGCTAGAATCCAAGAGAAAAAAAAGTTGTTTTAGTGTGGATTCGATATCTTATCTTATCTATTTTTTGGTGACATGTCGATTTCAAGATTAATTTTGGAATATGACAAGAGTACGGGCCATGGATAATCAATCATCAAAGACAGTGTCTGCTTCAATTGGCAATATTCATCTTCAAACCAGGAAATGCTTCTGCTTTGAACTTGGTTTTTCAAATTAAAGTCCAGATTTATGTGGAAATTTATCCCAACTATTTTTGAGATGTTTTGAACTTATGCACTGTTTTTTTTAGCAGAAAACACTTTCTATGTGAAATATTTTTCAAAAAACGTCTTCCACATAAAATGATTTTTGTGATTAGTTGCAGCCTTGAAACTGATGAGCTGGTGGTAGTGGTGGCAGTAGGTGGTAGTGTTAGACTCTTGTTCAGAAAATATTTTGCACATTAGAAAAAAAAAAATCTTTTTTCTACCTTAGAAAAAAAACTTATTTTTTCATTACCATGGAAAATATTTTTTGTTTACTTTAATTTTTTTTTTGTTGTACTGAGGTCTCATTTGGGAAAAAACTATTTTAGTAATTTTTTAGTTTTTTAGCTAAAATGTGAGGTAAAAAAAATTAATGTGTTTGGATTAACTTTTTGATTTTTTACGAAAAGATGTACAAAAAGTAAAGAGAAAAGGGATTGAACTTATGCACTGTTTTTTTTAGCAGAAAACACTTTCTATGTGAAATATTTTTCAAAAAACGTCTTCCACATAAAATGATTTTTGTGATTAGTTGCAGCCTTGAAACTGATGAGCTGGTGGTAGTGGTGGCAGTAGGTGGTAGTGTTAGACTCTTGTTCAGAAAATATTTTGCACATTAGAAAAAAAAAAAAAAATCTTTTTTCTACCTTAGAAAAAAAAACTTATTTTTTCATTACCATGGAAAATATTTTTTGTTTACTTTAATTTTTTTTTGTTGTACTGAGGTCTCATTTGGGAAAAAACTATTTTAGTAATCTTTTAGTTTTTTAGCTAAAATGTGAGGTAAAAAAAATTAATGTGTTTGGAATAACTTTTTGATTTTTTACGAAAAGATGTACAAAAAGTAAAGAGAAAAGGGAACCTCTGATTTTTTTGTATAAGTTATAGACTTCATGATTTTTTTAGTAATTTTTTTACTATTAAGCTAAAACCGTTACATGCCAAACGAGGCCTGAATGTCGGAAAATATGTAAAACATTTTTCTACTAAAAAGAGAGACATAAACAGAAACAGAAAGGGACAGAACAAGGAAAAATGCATTATATATATACTAATTTTCAGATAACATGTTCTCAAATGTAGTAAGAAAATGAAAGGATAAAGAAATCAGGATAATGGATTTATAAAAGTATTTTCTAATTTTTAAATTTTTTCTTCAATAATCAAGAAGATCTCCTTGGATTTTATAATAAAAACAATCTCCTCGATGGAGACGTCCTTTTGCGAATTGGATCTGCATGCTTTATCCATATTGAATTAGCTGACTTCCTAATACTCTGTTTGTAGAAGAAGAAACTGAGAAGAGCTTAAGGGAAAGAAGAAAAGATGGCCATTGGATACACTTCTTCGAGCGTCTTGCTTTATCTACTTCTTGTGATGGTAATATCTAAGCTATAGATGTCTACTTCTTGTGCAGTAGTAGTATCATGTAGTAGTTGTTGTTAACTCCATTTTTTTTTTTCATTTTTTTTTTTAATCTTTTACACTGTCAGTTCCAAGCCCCGGATAAGGAAGAAGGTTGTGTGTTAAGTAGCCTGATAGCATGTAAAAATTCTCATAAAACCCTTGTGAACATAAATCCTAATAAAAATATGTGAGTATGGTTTGACGGGGTAATTGTTGTTGTTGTTGTTGTGGTCGTTGTCGTCATCGTTATTTGTGTTCTTGCTCTTGCTCTTCTTGGTGTTTTGGTCGAAATTTTCATGTGACAGTTGGGATTCCTTTTGCCTTCATGAAAGGAAATGATAATAGTAGTGGTAGTTGTTGTTGCTGTTCAATCCGTAGTATTTCATCTTTTATACCAAGCCTGGATAAGGAGGGTTGTGTGTTTCGTAGCTGGACAACAAGTAAAATTCCAGTCAGATCTTTTATGAACGTAATCTTGATATGAAGATGCATGTATGATTTGGTTTAGTAGTTGCTATTTCTGTTGTTGGAGGGATTTCAGAACACATGGAAGTTTAAATTATTTCATTACATTAAGAATTTACACTACTTATTTTCAGTTTATCATCAAAGTTTGAAGAAACATTCTAGCATTGGATGTTTTCTTTTCCTCTTTCCATACCATGCTTACGCAGAACTTTAACAAAATGCTAGTTCTTATTTTTGCAGAGCTCTCATGGAATTGGAGCCATGAAGATGATTCCCAAAGATGATCTGGTCGATGATCATCACAATGTGATGAATGCTTTAAAATATCCCATGATTGATAACCAAGACGATCATGCTCATGCTCATAATGAGATACATACAGATCATATTCATGATCATTCAGCATCACACATGGATCACATAGACCCTTCACTAATTGTGTTCTTCTTTTTGGAAGACCTAAAGGTAGGAAAAAGAATTCCCATTTACTTCCCAAAGAGAGACCCTTCTTCCTCTCCTCATTTCCTACCCAAAGAGGAATCCGATTCCATTCCTTTCTCACTAGAACAACTTCCAAATCTTCTTCGAATCTTTTCCTTCCCTCAAGGCTCTCCACAAGCCCAAGCCATGGAAAGCACACTTAGACAATGCGAGGTCAAACCCATCAAAGGAGAGTCAAAAACATGTGCCACATCATTAGAATCCATGCTTGATTTCGTACGTGCCATGCTCGGATTAGAGAGCGAATTCAAAGTTGTATCAACTATCCACTTCACAGAATCAACCACCATTCTTCAAAATTACACTATCCTAGAAGATCCTCTAGAAATTTCTGGTCCCAAGATGGTGGCATGTCATACCATGCCTTACCCATATGCGATTTTCTATTGTCATTACCAAGAGAGCGAAAGCAAGGTCTTTAAAGTCTTTTTGGGGGGTGAAAATGGAGACAGGCTTGAAGCGGTTGCTGTTTGTCACATGGATACCTCTCAGTGGAGCCCTAGTCATGTGTCCTTTCAAGTACTGGGAATTGAGCCAGGGTCCTCCCCGGTTTGCCATTTCTTCCCATCTGATAATCTTGTGTGGATTGCATCATCTACTTTAATTAGTTATATGTAGTTTGCATGTAATCACTGAGATCCTTGCACTTTGATTTACAATCTTACTTGTGTGCATGTCCAGTGAAACGAATATCGTGTTATGCAAGTGTTTTATGATTTAAGAATGTCTGTAATAAAATAATTGGGACCAAAGACCGCTATTTCTGCTTCTATCTTTCTATTTTGTTGCAGTTTCTTATACTAATTAGTCTTATTCAGTTGGTTCAAGTGTTCTCAGGTAGTTCTAAATCATATGGGCATGTTTGGTTGTATTTTCATTTTTTGTATGTGTACTCATTTTCTGAAAAACTGTTTTCGATTTTTATTTTTGTTGAAAACAACTCAATTTTGACATTTTGCACACAAAAAAGAAAGTAATGGGCGTTTATGAACTTTTTATGTTAACGACAACATAAAAACAACTCGCTTTTAACTTTTTTTAAATATTTTTAGACATCTTTTGAAATCGTCACTTACGGTTATGCTGTGTTTTAGACCTCAATTTGGAGCTTGCAATTCCCCTAATTGTTGGCAAATGAGGAAGACTGATTCATATTCTTCTGGTTATGAGTTTTCAGAAGAAGGCCGAGTCTCGAAGTAAGTTGTCATTTGAAGACTAAAAGAACCAACTCAACAATTTCAAAAAAGACAGATGAAAACCAATTAGGGGAATTGCGTGTGATCACGAAAAAGAAAAAAACTGAAAATAGGAAATATGATTTGCGCATGATCAAACCCATAAGTTGCTCTACCTGTCACATTGTTGCTGCAAGTATTCCCTCATGACTGGTTCGAAGATTAATTTCCCAACATAATCAATCTGATTATTGGACTAAATGTAAGTTAAAAATGATGTTTTGATGGTATAGGACTTCACTTTCCACACGAGTGTAGACAAAATTTAATGGTTATATAGTCATCCATTTGAGTTGAATATTCCTATATCTAGGCAGAACCATATTCCAAAACGCCTTTTTTTTTTATTATACTAATAGATTGATAATAGCTAGCGTGGTGCTTATGCTGACAGGTTCTTGTATACATAGACTGGTTGGCCTTTTGCTTTGTTAATGCCGATATAGTGTGATATATATTCACATCCATAAAAAATAGTTTGGTTGCTAATTAATTGCTATTTTTGTAAAACGTTGTCGCCTATCTCTTTCTTTCTCTCTACGTGCACACACGCAGATGCTCAAACATAGGGATAAGATAAGAGGGGTGAAAAACAATGAAATCGTATTGTTGCCTCAAAACTTTTTTCTGATATTTTCTCGTTAAATCTCTACAAACATCATTTTTTAAACTACAATGAATATCAAAAGCAACAATCTTAACCGCCTCTTCGCATACAGGGGCAAAACTGCTTATATCTGACCCTTTCCAGACCCTATAGTGGCGCGAGGTTCATGTACTGGGCTGCCCCTGTGAAAAATATTTTCCATTGGCAATTCTCACTAGCTTTCAACAGATACCATTATGGACACAGTTTAAACAAGACTAAAATGAAGCATTCTTAGGTGTCTATTCTAAGCTAGTTAACAATACAAAAAATGCATATATATATGATCTTTCTGCGCTTGATTATACTCGGGAAACTTTATCTGGGGCTTGACAGGTTTAACAGATGATTGAATCATCTCTCCTTGATCTGAATCAATTTCATGTCCCTGCTTCAAGTCCTCCTTGACAATGTGGCTGTGATAAAGTATATGATTAGGCCTAGTATCGAAAGCCTTGTTGAAGTGTTCCATGTTTATGGTCTCAGACGAAGATGAATCTCCATGGACAAGTTCTTCAATCGCTTTAGGTATGGGCTCGCCTTTCATCATGCTCTTCCAATAGTCTGCTCGATCGTTCCTCGCATTGCTGTAATTGGCAAACTGACAAGGAAGAAGAGTGAGTGGCTGTGATAAAGTATATGATTAGGCCTAGTATCGAAAGCCTTGTTGAAGTGTTCCATGTTTATGGTCTCAGACGAAGATGAATCTCCATGGACAAGTTCTTCAATCGCTTTAGGTATGGGCTCGCCTTTCATCATGCTCTTCCAATAGTCTGCTTGATCGTTCCTCGCATTGCTGTAATTGACAAACTGACAAGGAAGAAGAGTGAGTTCATATATCACACATGAATGTACAATCTTTAGAAAATAAATGGTAAGACGATTTACATGTGAACATAAATTAAATTGTTTAGGAATGTTTGTTTACCAAGAAAAGCAACAAAAGGAGGAAGAAGGCAGATGGAGTTCTCATGTCTGCACTTGATGGAAAAGTAAAATTTGAGGATACAACTTTATTTTCTTGATTCCTAGACCTCTGACTTGGTATTTATAGACTATTTCAATGGGAGTTACAAAACACGAAAGATAAAAAAACTCACTTGAAAACTCAAAGCAAACAGAGGTACAAAATCTACACTACTGTTCTGAGTATCTTTTAGATACATAGCATCTCTGTATTAGTACAAAACTAAATTATTGAGAGAGAGAGAGAGAGAGAGAGAGAGAGAGAGAGAGAGAGAGAGAATGGTTTGATTCCATTAGGGGTGGGATCTGGGCAAACATGTGATGCTTACTCATTTTATTCTTGGTAGAAGTGGCAGATAACTTTGACCCAATTTCACCTGTTCTAGATGACTACTTCACCTTGGCATGAACATTTTAGAAAGAAATGTAGTGTACACCAATCAAAGGGCAGCTGATTAAAATAATGGTTAATTACACGAAAACCCCTCTCAACTATTAATAAATATTACTTTACCCCTCCTTTATAAATTTATACATATTGACACCCTTTTAACTTTGAAAACCTTACAAATACATTCCTTTTGTTGGCTCCATCCACTACCCACATGGTAAGGAGCCCACCATCCACATGGTGTGGGTGGCACCATTTGGTAAAAGAAGCTGGTGGAGGCCAACACCAACTCACTAAAGGAAGATAGTGAGGGTGGCACTACCTTGGCCAATTATGGCTATCTCTTCACCTACTCCTCCTCTCTTGGTTATAAATTGAGATGAGTGAGGAGGGGTTGTATATCATCAGAAACTTCACCTACTCCTCCTCTCTTGGTTATAAATTGAGATGAGTGAGGAGAGGTTTTATCATCAGAAATTGGAGAGTGAGAGCTGTGAGTTGAGTGAGTTTCATCTCCTCCTCTGTATTTGTATTTTTGCTCCATTTTAGTGAAAATTCTCATTTCTGTCCGTGGATGTAGGCATTGGGCCGAACCACGTAAATATTGTGTTCTCTGTGTGTGTGAGATATTTTTCTTGGTGTGTTTGATCCTAACAAAGTGGTATCAGAGCCAAGTTGTACGTTTTTCGGAAAAACAAAGTGTTGTTTCGAAACTGCCCAGAAATCGTGTTGCTCGAAATCAGATTTTGAGCATACTAGGAGCAAGGGCTCGACGAGAGGGGTCCAGAAATATAAAGCAGACACCCAACGGAGGCCGGACGCGCCATCACGCGCCCCTGGAAGTTGGCGCGTGAGTCCCAGTCTCGCCACGCACTCACACGCGTCGTGCAGGCACCCGGCGCGTGATCCCAATCTCACCCACGCGCCCCACGCGCGGTTCAAGGAGGACGACGACTGAGGGAACAGCGCGTGCCATACACGCGCCATCAACACGCGCGCCACGTCATCTCGCCACGTCATCACTACGTGGCACAGTTGTCAGCCAGGGGCTGCCACGTGGTCGCCACGTCATCGTCCAATCATCGCCACGTGGCAGACACGTCATCGCCGCGTGGCAGACATGTCCTCACCACGTCATCACTCTGAAGAAAATCCGATGCGACGCGGCTATGGTGCAGCCGCAGATCTGAGGCGTACAAAATGTTTTGGCTAGATCGAAGCCATTTGGAGTCCGTTTTTGGTGATCCAATAGTGGTTTCCGACTATTTGGAGTATTCCGGACACATCCGTACGGTCAGATTTTGGAGATGGAGTTTCTGTAAAAAGAAGGCAGATTAGAGTGGCAGACGGCATCAGGTGCAGTGGACGGAATATTCTGTTGGTACACGGAATATTCCCTGAACTTCTGAAAATTGGAGCATGGGATGACAACCTTACAAGGCATTAAAGGGACAACTAAAGCAAGCATACAAGCATACTATAAGGTCTGAAATAACATGGTGGATGATTCCAAAACACCAAATCAATGCAAAAATGTCATGCTATACATTCACATACTTAAGGCCAACAAGCCAGAATGCAAAGGGGTTATATGATGCATGCCAAATCCGACCCAAACGACCATGGACAGACCTAGAACATGGCAAAATATGCACAAAATCTTCACAAGACTAAGCCTAAAACATGCTCCAACAAGGGCTAACAACCTAAAGCAATTTGAGGCAATAACATGGCATTACATGGTAGATATGCTAAGCATGCATGGTGTACCAAAACCAAGTAAAAACAGAGGTATAATATGACATATTAAGCACAAAAAACAACTAAGGCATGGTCAACATGAAGCTTAGCTAGATGCTCCTTCAAGAGGCCAAAAATGGTCCATTTCAAGGACAACAAGGAGAGGGGGTGGCCCTCCCCTTTTGGAGACTTAAAGGCACCATCTCCACCACTGAAATCCCTCAAGATTTCAGTAGTGAAGAGGCCCAAACACCAAAGCCTCGAAACTTGCTCAAAATGGCTCAAAATAGGGCCTTTCAAGGCCTAAGAGGGGTCAAACACCTCCAAACCAAAAAACACTCTTAATAAACAATCAAGAGGGTCTAAAAACAGAACGCTCACGTTTAAAAATATCCAATGACCCTGCTTCTGAGTATATTTTGCTTACCGATGAGGGGGAGCCAGAAAGTTTTCAAGAAGCTCAAAATCATAAGGAGAAGAGTAGCTGGCAGCAATCTATGCAAGAAGAGATGCAATCCTTGCAGAAGAATCAGACTTATGATTTGGTGAAACTTCCCCAGGGTCGAAAAGCATTGCAGAACAAATGGGTGTTCAAGTTGAAGAAAGATGGCAGCGGAAAGCTAGTCAAGTATAAGGCTCGATTGGGTGTCAAAGGTTTGGCCAGGAGGGTCACATAAAGAAGTATTGCTATGCCTTGAAGGGAGAACAACAACAAGGCAATAGACAGCCAAAGACCGAAGATGGGACCACTGCAGTTTCTGTCTCAGAGGATATTGCATTATTCTCTGTTGAAGAAGAAGAATGCCTCCATATGTCAGACAACGACACCGAGTGGGTGGTAGATACAGCAGCTTCCTACCACGCTACATCCCAGAAGGAGTTCTTCAGTACGTACCAAGCTGGAGATTTTGGTACAGTGAAAATGGGTAACTCCAGTTTTTCAAAAATTGTGGGAATTGGTGATGTTCATATCCAAACCAAAGTTGGGTGCACGATGGTGTTGAAAGATGTCAGGCATGTTCCCGATTTACGCCTGAATCTTCTTTCAGGGATAGCCTTAGATCGACAAGGCTATGAGAACTACTTTGGCAAAGGCATATAGAAGTTGAAAAAGGGATCTCTCGTGGTAGCCAAAGGACAGGTAATTGGCACACTATACAAGACTCATGTGGAGGTGAATTCAAATAGCCTCAACGCAGCAGAAGATGAGGCGTCACCAAATTTGTGGCACAAAAGGCTGGGTCACATGAGTGAGAAAGGGTTACAGATTTTGGCAAAGAAGTCACTTATTCCCTTTGCCAAAGATGCAAAATTAAATCCTTGTGACAACTGCTTGTTTGGGAAGCATCATAGAGTCGCTTTCCATTCATCATCCAGAAGATAATCAGAGTTGTTGAGCAGAGTATACTCTGATGTTTGCGGTCCCATTGAAGTGGAATCTTTGGGTGGTAGAAAATACTTTCTAACGTTCATAGATGATGCATCACGGAAGGTATGGGTTTATGTCTTAAAGACCAAAGCTGAGGTGTTCCAGCATTTTCAGGCATTCCATGCTATGGTGGAAAGGGAGACTGGAAAGAAGCTGAAATGTCTCCGAACAGACAATAGAGGCGAGTACACGTCAAAGGAATTTAAAGCCTACTGTGCTACTCACGGCATCCGACATGAGAAAACTGTTCCTGGAACCCCACAACACAATGGTGTAGCCGAGAGAATGAACCGAACCATTGTGGAGAAGGTCAGATGTATGCTTAAAATGGCAAAGCTACCAAAGCCATTTTGGGGAGAAGCTGTTCGTGTTGCTTGCTATTTGATCAACAGATCGCCATCAGTTCCATTGAATTTTCAGATTCCAGAAGAAGTATGGTCTAGAAGGGAGATCTCTTACTCTCACTTGAGAGTGTTTGGGTGCAAAGCATTTGCACATGTATCCAAGGAGCACAGACAGAAGCTGGATGACAAAGCCACTCCATGCATCTTTATTGGCTATGGAGATGAAGAATTTGAATACAGATTGTGGGATCCGAAACACAAAAAGGTCATTCGAAGCCGAGATGTGGTGTTTCAAGAAGGCCAGACCTTTGAAGACTTTGGGCAACCAGCCAAACCCAAAGTTGATGATGTTTCAGAAATTATTCCAAACTATGTACCATCACAGCATGCCACTGATGAAGAAGAGTTACCGTAGCATGCAGTCAATGATGTAGAGTTGCAGGATGGATTTCTAGAAGAAGAAGATCCAGAAGCAGAGGGTGTTGAGCAGGGGGAGCCATAACCCCCTCTACCAGAGACTGTTGGTCCACAGTTACGAAGATCAACAAGAGAATTTAAGCCGTCAACCAAATACCCTGCTTCTGAGTATATTTTGCTTACCGATGAGGGGGAGCCAGAAAGTTTTCAAGAAGCTCAAAACCATAAGGAGAAGAGTAGCTGGCAGCAAGCTATGCAAGAAGAGATGCAATCCTTGCAGAAGAATCAGACTTATGATTTGGTGAAACTTCCCCAGGGTCGAAAAGCATTGCAGAACAAATGGGTGTTCAAGTTGAAGAAAGATGGCAGCGGAAAGCTAGTCAAGTATAAGGCTCGATTGGTTGTCAAAGGTTTTGGGCAGAAGAAAGGTATTGATTTTGATGAAATCTTCTCGCCAGTTGTGAAAATGACATCCATTCGAGTAGTTTTGGGACTAGCAGCTAGTTTGAATTTGGAACTTGAACAAATGGATGTGAAAACAGCATTTCTCCATGGTGATCTGAAGGAAGAAATTTACATGGAGCAGCCAGAAGGTTTTGAAGTCAAAGGGAAAGAAAACTTAGTCTGCAGATTGAAGAAGAGTCTCTACGGCCTCAAACAAGCGCCGAGACAGTGGTACAAGAAGTTTGACTCATTCATGGTAGGTCATGAGTACAAGAGAACTGTTGCAGACCAGTGTGTTTATGTCAGGACATTTCCCGGTGGAAACTTTATCATACTTCTGCTCTATGTTGATGACATGTTTATCGTTGGACAAGATGCCACAACAATCAGATCACTGAAGAAGGAGTTATTACAGTCCTTTGACATGAAGGACCTAGGCCCTGCACAGCAAATTTTGGGCATGAATATTGTGCGTGACAGGAAAGCCAAGAAGTTGTGGCTGTCACAGGAGAAGTACGTTGAACGAGTGATTGAGAAGTTCAACATGAAAGATGCCAAGCCAGTCAGTACTCCGCTGGCTAATCATTTCAAGCTGAGCAAGAATTCTTGTCCCTCCTCTACGAAGGAAAGACAAGAGATGGAGGCGATTCCCTACTCATCCGCTGTAGGGAGTTTGATGTATGCAATGGTGTCCACCCGACCAGATATTGCTCATGCGGTTGGAGTTGTAAGCAGATTCCTTTCCAATCCAGGAAAAGAGCATTGTGAAGTAGTCAAGTGGATTCTGAGGTACCTCAAGGGTACAGCAAAAATGTGTTTGTGCTTTAGAGATGCTAAACCAGTCTTGGAAGGCTATACTGATTCAGATATGGCAGGCGATCTTGATGGTAGGAAATCTACATCAGGATTGCTGTTCACTTACGCAGGGGGAACTGTGTCTTGGCAGTCCAAGCTGCAGAAGTGTGTTGCTTTATCCACAACCGAGGCAGAGTATATTGCCGCAGCGGAAGCCGGGAAAGAAATGTTATGGTTGAAACGGTTTCTCCAAGAGTTGGGATTAAAGCAAGAAAAGTTCACGATGCATTGTGATAGTCAGAGTGCCATAGACCTGAGCAAGAATTCGATGTACCATTCTCGCACAAAGCACATTGATGTTCAGTATCATTGGATACGCGAAGTGATGGACAAGCAGTTATTAGAACTGATCAAGATCCACACAGATAAGAATCCAGCTGACATGCTTACAAAGGTGGTCTCGAGAGACAAACTGGAAGTTTGCAAGCATCTGAGCGGGATGGACTTCAAGTGAGAAGTCAGTTGTCCATGTGGGCGTGGAGGGGGAGAATTGTTGGCTCCATCCACTACCCACATGGTAAGGAGCCCACCATCCACATGGTGTGGGTGGCACCATGTGGTAAAAGAAGCTGGTGGAGGCCAACACCAACTCACTAAAGGAAGATAGTGAGGGTGGCACCACCTTGGCCAATTATGGCTATCTCTTCACCTACTCCTCCTCTCTTGGTTATAAATTGAGATGAGTGAGGAGGGGTTGTATATCATCAGAAATTGGAGAGTGAGAGCTATGAGTTGAGTGAGTTTCATCTCCTCCTCTGTATTTGTATTTTTGCTCTATTTTAGTGAAAATTCTCATTTCTGTCCGTGGATGTAGGCATTGGGCCGAATCACGTAAATATTGTGTTCTCTGTGTGTGAGAGATATTTTTCTGGGTGTGTTTGATCCTAACACCTTTTGGAGGTGATTTGGGTGATTTGAAAGGGATGAAAGTGCTACATTTTCATGATTGAATGAATGGGTCAAAATGTATGGATTTATAGATGAGGGGTAGTGATATTACCTAATTGTTAAGGGGTGTTAGTGTAATTAACCCTTAAAATAAACTAGTAATAAAGTCAACTCTTGAAGAGACCCCCATTTTGAGGTCTATCTGTCCTTGTATTCAGAATGCAAGGCATCTGGGGATGATGATGAGCTTTAAGGACTTCCTCTCATAATGTTATTTTTTTTAAATGACAGCATATGCTAGATGTTGCTCATGTCCGTGATCATGTTGAGAAATTCAGTAACGAGATAACAATCTTGTTCAGTAGCATATCAAAGTTTTATATTTTTTGTTCAAAGCAGAGCAAGAACATAATGCATTCACTATTAGAACATTCATGTAGTCAAGTCCTTAACCACCCGACATATGAGGAGGGTAGTCAAGTCCTTAACCACCCGGACAACCAATTAGCTTAGTAGCATTTCAATTAAGCAACGGCACGTGGCACCAATAGGTTGGAAGACTTTTATGCTTTTAACTTATAAAAAAAATTATAACTTCATCTCTAATCTAGAGAGTTGACTCCCATTTATGATCACATATTGTAAGTTTTTTTTATTTTTTATTTTTAGAGGATATGTATGTGGCACCTCAATTGTTGATTCCGGAACTTTTTTCAAACTTACTATATATATGGGGGTAGGTTTGTTATGGTCCTATATTATTTATATTGTTAGATCATTCATGTAGTCAAAATGATTGAATTCTATAACCTAATCAAGAAATAATTAATTGCACTTCCTAGATGAATCTATTGGTAAATGTCAACCAATCAAGGCATGGAAGAAGTATGTCTGACCAATCTACAGTTGAATACCATCTGACTAGCAAGTGGGTATGCAAAATATATATATATATATATACAAATAAAGAGTACTCTAGCAGTGGGAGGGGACAAAATATGTATAATTTTTTCTTGTTTAAAAAAAAAAAGTGGCTGTTATTCCTTCATGCACAGTATCTGTCTGATGCAATGAAGTTTTTGTCTCTGAAGAATCAAAGTTTTGTAAACCTTTTGGTTTGTACCTGTAGAAGTGTCCAGAACATGATCATCAAAGTGCCTTAAATTTTTGAAAAATAGAATTTTAATTATGCGCTAGAAGACAGAATATGTAACCTTACAGCCTGTACTGTTCTATTAGATTGCAAGTTACAAGAAATGTTTGACTTAAAAAGATGTATAAGTCATAGCCAAAAAAAAAAGAAAAAAATTGAAATCGGGATATATATTTTACTTAAAATTTTTAGTTCATTTATATAGTTTTTTTGTATGTCATGGTGAGTCCCATCAAATTTTAAATATAATGAACACATATAATATTGTAGATAAACGTAAGATCTGAAATAAAATCATAAAATACATTTGGTGACAAATATTATTTTTTTAATTTTATTTGTTGTCTAGAGTTATCTTCCCAATTTTCATGTGCTTATTCAATCATTTTGTACACAGGATTATTAATATAGCTTTGTCAACTTTCAAAACCAGAAAAATGATTAGCTTTTGACTTCTTAAAATTGGATTTGTATAATGAGCTAGGCTACCAAATTCAAATAGAAGAAGCTTTTTCAAGATTAGTGTGCATGAAAGGGACTAAAGTTGAAAAAAAAAAGGATATAGTAAAAGCTGCATTAGTTTGTGCCACATATGGAGAGCTATGTCATCCTTAGGTATGCTTTTTTTCAAATGTGATAACGTGATAGGTATGATATGACATTTCAAAAAAAATAAAAACTCTTTAGTATATTTTTTTCAAATATAACAACGTGGAGGGTATGTTGTGACACTCTAAAAAAATTAAAAACTCCTTAATGTACTTTTCCTAAACGTGATATGTAACACTCCAACGTAGTGGACCCAATTTGATTGAATTACTGCGTGTCTTCACGTTACGTGCCAAAAAAAATTAGTAAGAAATTCACGTCCTACACTGCGCGTGTTAAAAACAATCAAACTTTAAAGAGCTACTAGTGTGCTTTTCGAACAACATGACACACAAACACCTCACCACCTTCCACATACATAAAAACTCCTTAGTGCACTTTTTCTAAGCATGACATATGACACTTTAACGCGGCGGACCCAATTTGATTGAATTATTATGTGTCTTCACGTCACGCGCAAAAAAAAAAAAAATTAGTACGGAATTCACGTTCCACACTATGCGTGTTAAAAATAACCAAACTTTAAAAAGCTACTAGTGCACTTTTCGAACAACATGACACACAAACACCCCACCACCTTCCCCATACATAACCACGCCACCTGTCCCCCAACTGTACTAACTATTATGTGTCTTCACGTCACGCGCAAAAAAAAAAAAAAAATTAGTAAGGAATTCACGTTCCACACTACGCGTGTTAAAAATAACCAAACTTTAAAAAGCTACTAGTGCACTTTTCGAACAACATGACACAAACACCCCACCACCTTCCCCATACATAACAACACCACCTGTCCCCCAACTGTACTAACAATGGTAAAACAGTCAACAAATAATTTAAGGAACTACTTAATCACCAAAAAAAGGATTTACAAGTTTACAAAACAGGATTTATTGGTCAATTCTCCTAAGTAATAAGAGAAGGAAAAAAAAATTAAATTAACTAAGGAAAGAGAATACCAAAATATGCATTAGTTTGCGGTATATACGGAGAGTTTTGTTTGGCGATAAATTATTTAGTGGTTCATATGCAGTAGATAGTTCTTCACATCATTCAGCAAATGCTACATAACCCTATGTAGATGACCCTCACTATTAGGCCCACAAAGTGATACGACCACTGTGAAGATGTTGAAATGTCTATTTGTGATTAGTATAGCGCGATGTACCATGCTCTAGAACACCAAATTAATTTTTGGGTTAGGCTCTGTTACTTGGTAAGAGCAACATAACAAATTTTGGTCTCACACTGTATCAATCATTTTTAATTAAAGAATTTGTTGTGATAATGTTATCGTACTTGATGTATTTGTGGGCAAAATGACCACCAAAATTTATATATATATATATATATATATATAATATGGATACTAAACTAATCATAGAACTAACTTTAAAACAAGATGCATAGGGTTCGTTGGGGAAGTAGGTTGGCTTTTTGATTATTTTAGCCTGGAGTTAAAAAGTTTCATTTGAGAAGGATTTTTTTGACTTTTTGTGAGAGAAAAAATATAATGATGACGAGTTGGATGTAATATTTTGCCTTATTAGGCTAAAGACGGGAGCTTCTATTTACACACACAATATACGCTTTCTACACATCCCTCCTCACTACACTTTTTACACACTCCCTTCATTAAGTGTGTGTATAAAGGGGATTTAGTGTGTGTAAATAGAAGCTCCCGCTAAAGACCTTATTCTATTTTTTTTGTGACTAAAATAACCCCAAATCCAACCCAATCCATCTTCCCAAACAGAGAGGCATAACATGTTCGATAGTTGGTTTTGTGTCTGTAGAATTATTAAACGAAGAATGCGCTGACTTTATAGGTCATTTACTCAATATTCCAATAAAAAATGAAATTTGTTTTAGCAGCAAGTTTACCTGCAACAACATGCCATGTCTCTATATGTGAGTGTGTGTATACAATGCATGTCTCTTTGATTCTACTACATATACACATATATTTATATATATATATATATATTATTTTTTTAAGACATGACATGAATATATATATATATATATAGACCAATCATGTGAAGTAAAATAAAATGTCACATTTATTTCTAATAAAATAATTTTGAGCAATGATTGATACTCCCACAAAAATTTCACCCTCACAACCCCACGTCATCCTATGAGAGGAAGAGATGGGAAAAAAAAAAAAAAACAGATATGGACCAATTACACACATTTGGGAGTCATGGGGGTCCCAAATTAGGGGTCCAAGCTTTTTCCAATAATTTTTTTTTAAAAAAAAACTTCCTTTATTCCAACTCCAAAACCTGTTCAGTATGTGACTTAGTCCAATCCCTTTTATTTCACAGACAGAAGAAGATCAAAAGAAAGAGAAGATATGGGTTCTAGGTTTGCTTCTTGCAGATTCATCTTTTATGTTCTACTTGTTTCTCAGGTAATAATGGCCCTTCCATTTTTCTCAGGATTGTTTTATCTTAATTTCAGCTGTTTCTTTTCTCTTCTTCTTCTTCTTCTTCTTCTTCTTCTTCTTCTTCTTCTTCTTCCTTTTATTTTTTTTTTTTATATATATGTTATTTTTCTGTTTGTTGCTTTGTGTTTTCCTCTTCCTCTTTCTTGTCGGATGAACAAAAACAGAAACACACACAAAAAAAAAAAATTGAACTTAAAAAAATGTACACTTTTCATGATATACCATTCCTCTATCAATCATTCAATCGTACATAATTTTGAAAAAATGTTCTTGTATTTCTCTAGTCTCTGCTAAGCTCATGCTCATTGGAAATTTCTAAATTTTTCTCCAAAATCAAGCAAGTGTGGTGGATGGTTTAGTATTGTTACAAAAATGCTATGCTGCCATGAAAAAATAACTAGAAAAGTACTCAGAATTTGAATCTGTACCTCTATGATGTGCCGCGAGTCATACACAGAATAAATTTGATCCACGCATTTCAAATTTGGACACTTTTCTGTTCATTTATTCTAACTGTGTAGCATTGCTGGTGTTTTTAGCATAAATTTTTCTGAGATTAATTTGAAAACTATAATTCGTTTTTCTTTGAAACTAATCCTTCTATGATTTTAATCACAGTGCACCCACACCAATTGCATCAGAGAGATTACAGAGAAAACCTGGAAAGATGCTAACAAAGAGGCATCTGATTTGCAACAAACTGCCATTGATGACGATCTTCAAATTTTCTTCACTGTTGATGATCTAAAAGTTGGGAAAACAATTTCCATCTATTTCCCCATCAAAGACCCTTCAACCACTCCTCACCTACTCACTAGAGAAGAAGCCAATTCAATCCCTTTCTCATCATCAAAACTTCCACAGATTCTTGACTTTTTCTCATTCTCCAAACACTCCCCACAATCCAAAGCAATGCAATACACACTCTCTCAATGTGAGCTTGAACCCTTAAAAGGAGAGACTAAATTTTGTGCTACCTCCTTAGAATTCATGCTTGACTCGGCTCGTGGCGTGTTTGGTCTGAAAACAAAATTCAGAGTTCTTATAACCAAGTACCTGTCAAGCCACAATGCTGTTTTGCAAAACTATACTGTTTTGGATGTGGCGAAAGAGATTGAAACTCCGAAAATGGTGGCTTGTCATGCCATGCCTTACCCTTACGCTGTGTTTTACTGTCACGGGCAAGAGAGTGATCATCACAGAGTGTTTGAGGTGGCGCTGCGTAGCGGCAATGATGGGGAGAGAGTGGAAGCTGTTGGTGTTTGCCACATGGATACATCAGAGTGGGACCCGGATCACGCGGCGTTTCGGGTTCTCAGGACTCGGCCTGGACAGTCTCCTGTCTGTCATTTTTTTCCAGCTGACAATCTTGTTTGGGTTGCATCACCTGCTCTAGATAGTTAGTAATTATCTGAATTGTGCTTGGATATATGGTGAAGAGGTAGCATATGTAAAAAAGGGTTATTTGTAATATGGTTGATAATGTTGTGTTTGTTTTAATTTAAGAGTAGTGAACCTTAAACACAGATCTAATTATTCTATGGTCCATCATGGGATTGTGTGTCTGCTCAATAACAAGCAACCTGCCCCATTGTTTGAGTCCATTGAATATTTTTTTGTAAGAATAAAAAAGGGATTGCAAAGGTGGTCAAATTTCATTTGCACCAGAACACATACCTATTTGCACCTTCATGTATTTTTACGATTTTCACTGATTTGCAATATGTGTGTGTGTGTGTGTGTGACACTATTGGCATGAACAAAGAACTTTGCCACAGATTTTGGGAAGTCTAGCACCAATATGTGACTCATAATCCAGTTATCTAAAAATTCTAAATAAATTAATTAAAATAAATAAATAAATAAAACCCCAAATTTGAGCAATTCACTAATTCAGGTAAAGAAGAATTGCTCCTTAAATAACCACAATACACATTGGCAAGTGAGGGAGAGAGAGAGCTTCTTATAATTTAACCCAGTATTATAGGCCAGTAGTTGTTCACAATAAACAATTATAAAAGTACTACATCAGCCAAATGTTGGACATTTCCCCATAATCTATTCTTCTGATCCCCCAAATGCAATTCATCATTTTCCTGTAGAAAAAAAAAATATACAACAATTACAATCAGTTTGTCAGAAATTTGATCCAGGCGTTTCGCATGTTTATCACTGATTGATAGATCAATCTAAATCAGGAAAATCATGAACCAGTATAAACTTCACATAAAAACAAAACCAGACACTTTATTGCCTTAATTTAAAAAACAAAACAAGAAAACCTTAAATAAGGGGGAGAAATAGAACCAAAGAACACAAAAATAGAAAACATCTCAATTCGGTTTCATTTTCAAAACCAAATTTTTGAATTTATTTTATTTTTTGAGTTTTTCATATGGTTTCTCTCTTTTTTGGCCAAAATAAACACCAAAAAGTTGTTTTCACCCCAAAAAAGAGAAACCCATATGAAAATCAGAGTGTTTTTTATTTTTTTTCACCAAACTAATCTTTTGTTTATTTGAAATAATTTCATAAAACAGATTCCAAAAAAACAGAACTAAACAGAGTAACTAGCTCAATGGAGATCCACAAACGAACACATCTAAAAAGTGTGGACGATTTCAACTTTTGTAGGCCAATCCAGTACACCCCATAAGGTTTAAAAGATCAATGATAGCCAGCTATTAACCAACACTAGTTAACCTTGATAATGATAAGAGGTAATAGAGGTTGCCGATCAAACAAAGATTCAAAATCTAAACATTAGACACGGTAATTAATTCAAATGGATCTAAGAAAATACTGATGACAGATTATAAGGGCATCTCTACTTACCGTAGTTCTGGCGCACCATTGAGAACTTCCGCATCGCTTTTATTAGGGAACCATATTTCATGGACTTCAATGGCCCCATATGTCTGAAAAAGATGAACCAAATCTTCAGAAGTTTGTAACACGATACATCTTTAATATTCAGTAAACTAAAACAATAAAAAGAAATATTCAATACACCTAAAACAATAAAAAGAAATGCTTAGAAAGCGTTTGAAATTGAGCCCAACATATTCATGTTTTGTGCACACGTGCATTTCCTTACACTTCTAAAGCACTAAGAAACCTCTTAAAGAAGGTGCAAAAAAATCAAGCCCACCAATTAGAATTAGAAGTAAGAAATCAAATCACCAAGAAGCTCAAGATCAGGTTTTAACAATCAATTAAGTTTACAAACCAGTCAAATTGTAGATAGAGGAAATGTTGATAAAGCACTAAAACAAATCTTCTAGGGTATTTCACTTTCAATGAATTTATTGACTTTTAGAGTCTTTCAAGCATATGACTGTGCCTTGAAATAACACAGGATATCAAGATAAGAGTGAGAAAGAGAGATCATTAGGTAAATTTTGCTAGTCTTAATACAATCACACCAAAAAATGAGCATTATTGCTATTTCAGCCTGTAATAACGAGCTCGCTTGTGAGTTATTGCACCCTCAAATTACCCTAAGACCAAATAGCAACAGCTTACTGGTAAGTTATATTTAAATATTGTTTATTATTTTTGGTCGTCCTGCTCTATGGTAAGTTCAGCCTCCTAGCTGTTGGGTAGCCAACTGAAACAAAAAATGCTCAAAAAAATCCTTTTCTCCAAAGGTTCCTAAAGATTTTAACCAAGAACTAACTATTCAGTCAGACTACCGAGAAGTTAAAACACTCACATAATCTCAGTGTACCGAATTTGCCATGGCGGGAAGCCTAGGTGGCATCTTGCAGGCCCATAAACTAATAGGAGATCAAGATCAGGCCCTCCGGAACCTGACAACATACAGACATCAACAGCCAACAGTTAGCTATGTAAAAGATCTGAGAGGACCCAAAAAAAATATATATATATATATTTGAAAGGGGAAATGGAAAAAAAAACAAACCAACAGCGCTTAGTGCCTCAGATACATGTGATTCTGTAAAGATTGGTGGCTCCTTCTCTTCTCTGCCCAAATAATGCTTCTGAAAAAGTAAGCTAGCAGCTTTGGCCACTGCTTCCTTCCCATCAGAGTAGGAAACAAATTCCAAATTTGGTTTTCGGTCAAGTAGTGGATAATTCCTTAGAGTTACCTGCATGAAATGGGGCTTAGATTGGGTGAGAGAAGTCAAGAGGAAGAACAAAATGTAAGAAGTCTAACCTAGTCAAGCCAATAGGAAGAAGAGAAAAAGAAATAAAAAGGAAAAACAAAACAAAAAAAAGTGGCTCGTGTGTAAACCTAAAGGGCCCGTTTGTTTTGGGGTTAAATAGATGGGAGGGGATTAGAATGGAGGTGGGGTTGTTTAGTGTTGTGTTTGTTTGTAGAGTTGGAGAGGGGATTAGGATAGTGGAGGTGATATAGATGGAGGTTGGAAGGGGGATTGAAATGGAGGAGGTGGAGATGGTATTAGAAAAATAGTGAGGGGATTAGAAATTTTTTTATTTTTTATATATTGGGAATTTTTTTTTAAATATTAATGTTTAATTTTTTATATTTCTTTATTTGTTTTATTATTTTATATAAAAATAATTTAACAATTTTTGCACTAACAACCATCATCAAAACAAACACAATTTTATTTAATCCCCTCACTATCAATCCCCTCATTAACAATCCCCTCATTATGAATCCCCTCCATTCTACCTCTGAAAACAAACGGGGCCAAAGGGTAAATTACACCACTAGTCTCTAAAGCATACCATGGATTTCATTTTGGTCCCTAATATTTTGTCTCCTATCTTAACTGTTGTCTTAAAAACATACGAAAAATGCTTATGCCAGCCTGACATTAGGCATTTGAGGGACATTAAGAGGAATTTATCCTATTTCCTACCTAAAAATGTGAGAGGTACATTTTTTACAAAACAAAACACATCAGAACCTTTTACTACATTATTGAGAGCCGAATACATAGCGTTTTTTGCTATTTGATTGATAGTACTTAGCATAAATAGATTTGTTAGAATGTCCTTTATGCCCTTTAATGCTTGATGCGAGGCTGACACAAGTATTTTTCGTCTGATCTTTAGACAGTAATTAAGGGAAGGGACTACATTGGATTAACGTGTAAAGTTTAGGAATGCAAAAAGGACTAAAATGAAATCAATGGAATACTTAGGGACCATTGTCTAATTTACCCAAACCTAAATTAAAATTTTAATTCAAGAAATATGCAGATTTTCTTATTAACCAAGTATAATTTAACACAAAAAAAATGGCTGCCACTAAAGCTTCATAAGTGAGTTCTCATGGGTACTCATCACAAAAAACCGCATCCCAAAATTTAAGAATTTTTTGTTAATTGATAGAAGAGAAGTGACTGAAATAGGAACCATGGCTGCAGCCTGCAGAACTGGAAAACGCTACCTTATCAGACAATATTGCAACAACCAATCTCTCCAAGATGGCTTCCTTAGATTTCTTCAGTACTCCTACAACAACAAAAAGCCCAAGGAACACATTGTTACACAAAAGTTTTGCAGACCCCATTAAATCTTGGCCGTTATGTATTTTGAGACTTCCGATACCGTTATTCACCAATATATAGGCCGATATTGTTTAATGCCAACCGATATATGACCATATCGCCAATACTAATACTTGTCCGGATACCATTATTTAAAACAGTGGCAGGCACATTTTTTTGTTGTTATGTCTTAGGGTTTAGGGTTTCACCAAAGCACCCTTACCTTCAATGTCATATAGGTAAACATTCTTCACACCAAGGGATGCTAGCCACAGCAAAAGTTCAGCAACTTTTGAAGGTTGGTGAGCTTCTTCACTATCTACAACAATTGCTAGGTTCTGGAGATTATCTAAATTAAGAGTGTTGTACCCCTTCAACAAACCACTAGAAATAAGATAGCTTTCAAGCATATCGGCTATACCCCGTGCAAAGTACCATATCCTGATCATAAAATGTAGAATATGCCATAGTAGTAGAAGCACAAAATTGCCAATCTGCAGAAAAATTTAATCAGAAATTCAGCATCTAATTCCTTGCTGCAACAGAATTCCTAATCTTTCTTATATTATTTATTATTTATTTTCTTTAATAAATGAATGTTCTTTTTTATGTAAATAAAATAAGAGTGTGAAAGCACTCATCCTACTGAAAAGCTCAAAGAAAACCTACTCTCCAAAGATTTTAGACTCGTAATCTCTTTGCATTGAACCAATTTTCTCAATATCTTAGGCATCGTAGAATCAATTGAAAATATTAAATTTAAACATTAATGAATGCTATATGTATGCATGTATGTATAGATTAAGTTAATTATAGTATAAATAAATAAAAATTAAAAATTGATAGCACAGAAGCACTTACTTGACCAGTCCTGTAAAAAACCCTCTGCATTTCGACTCTTAAATCCATAATTCTACAACAAAAAAAAACAAATAAACAAATGCAACTAAATATCTAATACCTAATTGAACTACCCAATTTCCAAATAAACAAAGAAGCATATTGGAAACAGAATTCAAACCACCAAGAATCTGTAATTAGGGAGACACAATAATGAAAACCCAGATGAGAAACAGCACAAAATTGAAAACCTAGATGAAGAAAAGTCAAACGTACCTGAAATTTCGAAAAATAAAAAGAATTAGAGAAGAAAAGTGACTAGAAAGAATTGAAAGACGGAGAGAGAGAGTCTCGGATCGAGAAAGCATTCTCTTTATGTGCCAATCGAGAGAGAAAGAGAGAGGGATCGAGCAATCATGCTCTTTACCTGTTTGTCTATGTTTAATTTTGTTCATTCATAGGGTAATTGTTCTCTGTATTTAAGGTTGCTGTATGATTCAACAAAAGCTATGAAGGGACTTGAGAGTGAAAAAATTACAGTTCCTTTTTTCAAGCACAGTACGATGTTGGTGAAGACGATTTATGAAGCTGGCCCCATGTTTAACCACCAAAAAGAGTAAACTACAACAAACCCCTTCAACTAAAATCCTTCGACATTTTAATGTCCACAGAAACAGGGTGTTTGGAAATTGAATTTTTTTAATTTTTTTTTTTTATAAAAAATGTGTAAAAAAAATTAAAAATTAAAATTGATTGTCATTTTATAATGATTTTTATTTTTTAACTGCTTTAACCAGTCCTCAAACGCTTGTTAATATATGCAACAAAAATATTAGAAATCTCAACAAAAAAAAATTATTAATATTAATCATTATCCTTCAACTAATTAATAATAGCAGTCCAAGTATTATTTCGTCTGTAAATTTTTTTTACTATATCATTAATTAGAAGCACTACTTGAACAATATCACATGTTCATCTGAACCGTTTAATTGTGGGATAAACTATTGCATTGTTTGTTTGTCAAATTATTTGAGAAGATATTTTGAAAGGAAAAAAGGAAAGATGTGTAAAATATAGATAAAATATAATTATATTTCATTTATATTTTATTTATATTTTTTTTTTCTTTTTCAAATCGTTATCCAAATTTATGAACCAAACATAATATATGTTATATGAGATTATAAGTACGATGAAATCTAAATAAGGAGATTACTAATGTAATAATATTAATTTGGAGATATAAAATAAATTGTATTTAGTAGTGATATTAATTAGTTAAAATTAAATTTATGAAATTACATGAAAGAAATTATTATGTAAAATGTTAACTTCATTATTTTTATAAAATGGATAATAAAATAATATGTTCCATTCAAATTCCATGAGATTTGATTAACAATCTCACATTTTCATGCAATTGTGAATCCTCTTATTGAAGGGTACTAATCAGTTTGTTTGATTCTGGTTTTGAGAAAATAGTTTTTAGAAAATTTTATATTTTTATTTTTCGTATTTTAATGTTTTTAATAAATTTTTTTTAATATTTTAAGTAATTTTTATTTTTATTTTTAGACGTACCTAACATAAATATACTTAAAAAGTATAATATTTGTGAAAAGTACTTTAAAAATACACTAAATACAATAAAAAATATAAAAAATTCAATACATTTTTCATATTTTTGTGTATTTATTAATTTTTAAAATATTTTTCACAAATATTTTATTATTTAGATACATCTAAGTAAAATGCATCTAAAAAAGTTTTAAAAATTGCTTAAAATTTTAAAAATATTCACTAAAAATAAAAATAAAAAATGAAAAATAAAAAACTTAATTTTTAAAACTGAAACTAAACACACTGAATAATACCATAAGATCCATGGCTTTCTCTTCCATTAAACATGTTTTTCATGAGATCCATGAGATTAAGCCTCCGTTTGGGAAGTGGGTTAGCTTTTTGGCTTTTTGGCTTTTTTGGCTATTTTAGCCTGGGCTAAAAAGTTTGGTTTGGGAAGGGCTTTTTGGCTTTTTGGCTTTTTTGGCTTTTTTTGTGAGAGAAGAATGTAATGATTATGGGTTGGATGTGATGTTTTGTTTTTTGTAGCTAAAATAGCCTATTTTGTTTTTTGTGGCTAAAATAGCCAAAAAAGCCCCGTTTAGCTCTTGCCAAACGGAAGGGTTAGTGAATTATATTAGGTGGGATTATAAGTACAATGAGATTGAGTGATAACATGATAAATTGTGTTTATTTATGCACTAGTATGATGATATTATTAATTAAAATCAAATATATAAATTTACATTAAAAAATTTCAATATATAAAACTATTTTGTCATTTCTCTAAAGTGTGAATAAATTCCACTTCCCATCACATAAGACTGGATTGTAAATCTCAACCCTTCTGTGAGATTAACTAACAATTTGGTTGTTAACTAAATAAACATGTCATATGTAAGACCCATTTATTAATAATTCAATTATAAAATATGCTATTTTAATTATTTTTTTGATTTTTTAATTATTTTAATATAATTAAAAAAAATTATATTTAAAATGATAATTAACTTTTTTTTATAATTAATCTGATAGTTGTAATAGAAAAAATAAAATTCATTTAAGAAAATAAAATAAAATAATTATAATTACAATTTACATATAATATTTATTTTATTAATTATTTTAATTTATTCTATTTTTATTGACTATTTTAATCCCAACACACTACACTACCCAAACAAGGGCCTACATGCCATCATTTACAGCTACTGTTCCACGTACTGGGTTACATGTCCTTTATATGACTTTTTCACGTGCTAGTGTATTAAGGTTGGGTTGAGTTGAGAAATTTAAAATAGAATTTAAATAAAATATAAATATATATATATATAATTAAATAAAATATAAATATGTATATATATATATATTTTCTTTCTTTTCGAATTTACTAATCAAACAAGAAAATCGCGAAAAGAAAACAGTGGTGTCCTTATCAATATATAGGAGGAAGATATTTGAAAGAAAAATGACTTGGACCCCACAAGGGGCACCTTCTTGACCCCTTTCTCTCTTATTGGTCAATTTTTTTTTTTTTTCTTCTCCTCCAATCATCAGCCCACACGTGTGTGTGAGGGTGATGAGAGTAGTGATTGAAAAGGGTCTCAATCACTTTCCATTATAAAAAACAAAAAAGAACAAAAGGTTGAGAAAAATAAAAATCACGTGGTTTTAGTATTTTCAAATATCGTCATTTTAATATTTTCAAATATCTTCATTTGAATTTGAGTGAAGACAATAAAATGCCGTTTTCAATTTTACATTTTAATTTTAATACACTATAAATTATATTACAGGAACCGCAATACAGAGTATCCGAATTCAAATAGTAGGACTAAAGCCCGGTTTGTTTTTAGAGTTAGAAAATGAGATTGAAACTAGCAGTAAGATGAGATTTAAAAAATTATGTTTAAGTAACCATGGGATTAAGAGTCTCATGGGACTATAAAAGGTCTCCGAGAAGAGGACTAGCAATCCCATGGGAGTCGTGGAATTAATATCTAATCCCATGAAATTGGTGGTAAAAATATTATTTTGCCCCTCATTTTTAAAATTTAATTTAATATAAAAACAACTTTTAATATTAAAATGAAATAGTATAATAATATATTTATACCAAAAAAAAATATCAACATAAAATAATATAGTACAAAATATAATTTTTAATATTAAAATATATCAAAAACACCCAAGGGTATTTATGGTATTTCATATAGTTAATACCCTCACTAAAACATATTACAAACAAACACAATTTTTTTTAATCTCCTCATAATATGGCTCTGTACTATTAAACACAAATAATTAAGTAAAATTTTATTGATAGTTGAATTCTTTAATATTGACCAAAAAAAAAAAAAGAATAACATTAAATAAAAATTTATTGATAATTGAATTCATTAATATTAATAAATAAATAAATAACATTGAGTAAAAAAAATTTGATAATTGGATTCTTTAATATTTAAAATAAAAATAAAAAATAAAAAAGAAGAAGAATAACATAGTAAAAATTTATTTATTCTTTAATTGGTATAAGTCCAAATTTGATAATAATGTAAATGATATTTATAAAATTTTACATGATCAATCCTACTCTTATCTCTCAAAACAAACATAACTATTAATAACTCACTGATTATCAAACAAATATAATTTTTCTTAATCTCCTCACTAACAATCCATTCATTAACAATCTCTTCCATTTTACCTTTCACAACAAAGGGATGCTAAATTAATTCACGACTCGCGTGGATTCTATAAAAACCTCAGATACGTAGTGGTCCAGCCCTAGTACAAACTAACATGTGCTTTATTGAACACATACATTAACAAAATGAGTCTGAAAATTATTAAGTAGTTCAAGAAATTTAAGAATTGTTTAAGGTGTCCTAAATAAATATATTTTTTATTTTTTTAAATTAAAAAATTAAAAAAATATATATGAATATTTGAGTTAACTTTTTGACTTTTTATGAAAAAATGTGTATTAAAAAATTATAAAAATTGATTTATAAGGGTGTAAGAGGGGCTAATTTGAGCCCACTAAATTATTTAGGCCCAATAGCCCAAGATTAGTGGGCCCGAATTTATCGCAAGTCCAAGACTGGCGGGCCCAGATTTATCGTCATCAGACGGGCTGAAATGGCTCTAAGCCTCGAAAGGGTTCGGATCCACGAACTTAGAGACTTACTCGGGCCCGGACTCGAAAGGGTATTAGGCAAGCCTAGAGATCCGAGGCACTCGGACTCGAAAGGGTTCGGATCCACGAACCTAGAGGTCCGAAATACTTGGCTTCGAACGGATTCAGACGCAATCTAGAAGTCGCTCCGTTAATGAGTCCCAGAACACTTGCGGGCTCGGAGCTTTCCGGGATCTACGCACCAGAACCATGGGCGTAATGGAGTTCGAACAAAGGACCCGATCCCGACGACGGTGAGTGGAGATAAATTCACTCTTCGGTTAAACTAGCCTATACCCCAAGCTCATAGGTTCAAGATTCAACAAGGAGCACTAATTATTTCAAGACAAAAAAATTACAAGATTCAAGATCCAAATCAAATTTCCACACATTCAGAGTTCATCAGAGTATAAGGTTCATCAGATCCAAAAATATAAGAAGAATAAGAAGAGGGTTTTGGCAGAAAACAGTTTGCAGATCCGAATCAGTTTTGAAGAAATAAGCAGAGTCTGAGGCAGGAGAAGGGAGGACCCCGGTAGCAGCTAACACTGGAGCAGAGTCTGAGGCAGGAGAAGGGAGGACCCCGGTAGCAGCTAACACTGGAGCAGAGTCTGAGGCAGGAGAAGGGAGGACCCCGGTAGCAGCTAACACTGGAGCAGAGTCTGAGGCAGGAGAAGGGAGGACCCCGGTAGCAGCTAACACTGGAGCAGAGTCTGAGGCAGGAGAAGGGAGGACCCCGGTAGCAGCTAACACTGGAGCAGAGTCTGAGGCAGGAGAAGGGAGGACCCCGGTAGCAGCTAACACTGGAGCAGAGTCTGAGGCAGGAGAAGGGAGGACCCCGGTAGCAGCTAACACTGGAGCAGAGTCTGAGGCAGGAGAAGGG